TATCTATCTAAGGGATATTTCAAAAAAGTACCAAGGAAAAGAAAATCAGTGTAAAATGGCCTTCTTCTAAGGATTTAAAGAATTCATTTTACTCGGTGTGTGTACGCATCAGTCACAGAAATTATCCATAATCCGTTTGATGTAAATAATGACAAGAAGTAAGAAGTGGAAAAGTTTTGCATAAATATACCGTAAAAAAAAGTCTATTCAATTCTTATTATATATTGTTAATGAAGGTACAAGGAGCACATGGCGGGAGACTTCGTATCTTCATCGTATTAAGATTTAGAATTGGGAAGAAGAAAAATGACGATTTGTGGTCAGCTGTTGCTTTACATCCTAGTGGCATTATTGACTTACTTGGGGTGAAATGATAAAAGAAACGAAATAAAAAGTGTTTTTAATTATATAAGGATTTATCAACTTGTGTATTTATGATGACAAACCATTAAAAAATGTGTGAACGCATACATATACTTGAGTATGCACACGCTTGTATGTATGGCGAGGTTTGAAAAACACGTCGCACTTCCCAAGATTTGACCATATGATCAAACATCAGAATTATTTTTTTTTTTTTTTTTTGCAATCCTTTCTTGATCAAACCAAGAACCTTTCAGCACACCTCGTCCATATATGTAAACTTACACCTTTATATGTGTGCTTGTGTGAATTTGTGTGTGCACACCCGTGTAATCGCATAAATATTTATATAGAAAGTCTCATAATCCCTTTCACTCAATTTTCTTAAGCTTTCTTTTTCTCTATTTCTTTTTATCTCTTTATCTCTCACACACACACACTCTCTCTCTCTCTTTCTTCCTCTCACTTTCTATTTCATTCATAATATTTCTGCCTCCTCTCTCTCTTTCTCTCTCTCTCTATTTCTATTTATCACACACATGCTTTTTTTATTTTTGGTTTTTGTTTGTTTTTGTTTGTTTTCTTTTTATTCCCTCTTTCGCATAGTACGCATAGAAATACGGCATAATTATTTACGTAAAGTTCGTTCGGAACTTCTGTCAGGGATCTGATTATCTTTACGCTCTGCCTTGGAGCAAAATCACCGGATTAGTGTAGTATCTGTGCTCTCTGTGAACTCTAGCACAGATAAATACATATATGGATACGGATTTCGTTTTATATATTTAGATAGATAGATAGATAGATAGATAGATAGATAGATAGATAGATAGATAAAACAATAAAGAAAAACAATATAAAATTTCAGGATTTGGCATAATTTGAAGCTCCAAGGCCGCAACTAATATAAGTCCTGCTCTTAAACCACGCACACACACACACACACCACAGAACAGCAACAACAGATCACACTAATACATTAATGCTCATACCTGCGTATATATACACAAATATATGTTTACACATCTATCTAGTTAGCTAAAGTATGAAGAGGGATCAATAAGTTCGTAGCCTGATACAGTTATTAAATGAATTTTTATCTGAAATTTTCACTGTATAATAATCACTTTATGCGATTAATATTTCCCAAGGAATGGAGTGCATTGACAAGGAAGAAACTTATATTGAAAAATAAATACTTATTGTTTAAAATATATGCTTTTTTATTTCATTATTAGGTTACAGACTTATTGGTGTATTTACATTTGCATGCACCCTCACACACACACACACACACACACACACACGCACCTAAATATGTCAATTCTGGAATATGCGTGCATGCTAGATTAGTTGATTTTACGACATATTGACCTTTGTTGGATTATTTTTGTATAGGGAACGCGGTGAGGATCGTACTCGCTACTAATGGTCAGGCAAACCAGCCGTGCCAACTATTAGCCCACGCCGAGTTGCTTAAGCATTTCGGATATAGAGTGAAGAAATCTGCTGCAAAATAAGCAAACACTGAAAATATCTCGATAACGAATAAATAATTACTAACTAGTAAGCTTAATAATTAATTAAGTAAGCTAATTAAAATCAAGTTTATGAAATACATATTCTTACTTGACAGTCTCTAGTATTTTCAGAGGATAGAAGCAAGTTGAGAAAATCTGGCGAGAAAAAAGAAAGAAAAAGAAAACCTTTCAGTTTCCTGATAACTGAAAATTGTCAAAATATTCACATTTTAAGCCCTTAAAACTGTTATCTCTTTTTTTTCGCTATTTTTTGTTTAATATATAATTTTAGAAAGAACTAGTATTGTCCGTCATATTTGCACATTTAAAAAAAGCAAAGCACCTATATATATATATATATATATATATATATATATATATATATATATCATACACATTGACCTTAACTTCAAAAGATAAAAGGGCAAATAAAGGATCTTTTTATTGCACTAAAAGTCATTTCTTACGCTATAAATTGTGCATCCGTGAATGTTATACAAATAAAGAGAAATCTGGCTATTTTAACTTGCATGTTCAATCAATTGTTTGTTGCAGTTGAATCTTTGTGCATTGTTATTATCGCGAAAAAAATAATAAATGTGTATCACAGACTAAAAAGAAAAACAAAAACTCCATTTGGAAATAAAACGTTATCAACGTCATTCTGCATATTTATTTCATTTTTGTTTTGTTTTACTCTTAATGTTCATCAAACCAAGCGTCATTTCCCGTGCAGTAGTCGATAGCAGTGGATTGCGAACCGGTGTACAACTACAAATTAAGCGACTCACTTCAAGTGAAGGGAATGAAATAAAATCGTTATGGATAATTTTGGGGGGAAAAAAACAATAAAAACGATAAACAGGAGACGACTAATGAATTTCTTTTGATGATTTTGTTCTTTTTACTCTGCAAGCAATAGAATCATTAAAATAAAGTGGAGAAAAAAACACGTTAGTTATCATTTCGCCATACATTTTTACTTGGCAGTAAAAATAACTCTTTAGTCTTTCTTAAGTAACGATTCTTTCTGCATTTGCTTTTCGATCAACATGATAAACTGTTAGAACTCATAGACTGTAAAATAGTAAATTAGATATACAGCATTAACAGTATTATAAAGAAATAGACTCTGGTAAAAGGTTTCATCAGTAATTATTATTTTTATAACTGAAGATAAAATAGAAAAATGGATTAAATACGTATGGTATTGTTGAATTTTATGTCGTAGCAATGTAATATATAATAAAAAAAATTATTGACAGCAATTCGTTTGATTCTACTTTTTCTTGAAATATTCGAAAATAACAAATGATTTTATTTAAAATACAAGAACTGTATTTTTGCAAGTTTAAAAATAATACCGTGGAAACTCGGTCCACAAATCTAATTCGTTCCTGAAGGCCGTTCGTAACCCGAAATGTTCGTAAAGAGAAACTATTTTTCCAAATAGGAATCAATGTAGAGAAAAAAAGTTACAGTACAATAAAATTGGAAAAGAAAAGAACGCCACCACACACGAATCTATGCGACACAGTGGTCGACTCAGAAATGATTCCGTTCGGGTTAACTCGGTTCGGCAATGATCGAGAACAAAAATTTTGTTCGATAACCGAAACATTTTTATCTCGAATTTTCGAAAACCGATTTGTTCGACATGCGAGACGTTCGAGAACCGAGGTTGCACTCTAATAAAAAAAAAAAAAAAAAAAGATCGGTTTTTGATTGTAATATTACGAACTAAAAATAAGAGCACGTAGAAGCAACTCGCTGTAGAGTAATGGTTAACAAGCTAATCTCACTGACCATTCCAGCTGTATTGTGTTCAATCTTTAATGAATACTTGTGGCCAGGGGCCAGATAAGTTTTAGTAATTATAATGGAACACTGTTAAGAAGTGTTTGTCAGGTCCAAACTTTAACATCTTCCAAAGATATGAAAATGTAAGAGTAAACTCCGAGGTTTTTCTAAGAAATATTTACCCGACTATAAGCCCGAGGTGTTCCCCAAAAGTTGAGGTAATGTGAGCAGTCCTTACGAACCGAATGCCGTAAAAAACGCTGGCGTTACATTTCGTGAACAGTAACTTTTTTAAGCCGTGAAGTTACCAATTCTCTCGTAAAGATCATCAAAGTGGAGATTGAAATCAAAATCCAGAGGCGCCAGTCTGGTTCATGCTGAACGCAATCGTCAGACCAGTTTTAGTAATTATAATGAAATTATATGGCCTGATGATTGCGTTTGGCATGAAACAGACTGTCACCTTTGGGTGTTGACTTTAATGTCCATTTTTATATTTACATATGCTCTATCCCTGATATTGAGCACTTTAACCCATAAATATAGCATAACTTAAAACTATATTTTTATATATATATATATATATATATATATATATATATATAGAGAGAGAGAGAGAGAGAGAGAGAGAGAGAGATAGATAGATAGATAGATAGATAGAGAGATAGATAGATATTTTGTGTATATTTAGGCAGCAATTTTTCATTAATGCATGTTTCATTAAATAATATAGACAAGTTTTGTCTATTTATTTCAAGTAAGTTCCTTTCATATTGTCTGATAAGCTTAATAACATTATCATTGAAAGACGAAAGGAAATCACCATATTGATACATGATACATGTTTAAATCCGATCTAAGCTTTCGGCTTACATAAGCCATTATCAAAGATGACAATTACTTTTCAATATATCAACCAATACACGGACGAAACAATAATGATAGTCTGTTTTTGTTGCATGAAAAATTTCAAAGCAACGACTAACTCGTGTATACGAGTCGCGGAAGCGAAAATCGCGTCGAGGCTCGTGACGTCACACATGACCACGCGAGAGTGAAAACGAGAAGTATTAAGTATGGGAAGCCGTTGGTATAAACCAATGGCTTCTGTTATCAATTATAGGCATTTAAGAATATTTGTGGAGATTCCGTAGTTTATTTTCTTCAAGTAAGGTTTCAACTGTTTTATGTTGAAACCTAAAAAAATAAAAACCTAAAAAAATAATAGACTCCATTCTCAGCGACAAAACTAAATTTTAAAAATTAAACAAAAACACCACAAGCCTCCTCAAGACACAGGTCAACAAACTAATCACGGCTAACAACACACATTGGTATAAAAGTGTAAACGGAGCAGTTGTGGGTCATGTAATTCATCTATGTGGAAAAATGCACTAATTGACATTCATCGACGCTTGCTGAACATTTACGAAGACCAAAATCTTTAACGTGCGCATAGTCTGGCAGTGGTTAATGCGTTTCAACAATGACAATAGCCACACACGGGATAAGCCAAATCTCGATCGGTCCTGCATAGCTGACAATACACGAAATGAAGTGCACGTCGAAAATGCAGAACCATTGTAGAAAAATAGTTTTCATAGCTGAAAACTTGCTCTCTGCAACGATGACTTTGCGCTTCCTAAATTTGATCCAGTTTCCAGGGAACAAAAATATTAGACATTACTTTCGGAGTGTCCATCAGATAGATAGATAGATAGATAGATAGATAGATAGATAGATAGATAGATAGATAAAAACAGTGTCGGTATAGAAATCAACACTGCATGATGACAAGTGGTTATCACCAACTATTTAATAATCGCTTAAGACGTGAAACTGTCTGCCTGTCACCGCACAGGGCTAATTTCTGTCTACAAACTTTGTATCCGTTATTTATATATATATATATATATATATATATATTACAACTGGTAATTTTACAGTGGACAGCGATTAATTAAACGGTGATTTCTTCTACAAGGGGCACCTGTTTCAAACCATGATGGAAGGCACAATTTCTTTATTAAGACTCCCGAATACATAGGCCGGTCGACATAATTTACACTATTTAAAAATAACAAACATCTAGTAAATATAGCGTTTAAATAATACGCATACAAGCACACAATATATAAATATAATATATATATATATATATATATATACATACACATATACAAACGCACAAAGAGTGATTGAAAAATAACTCCCTATTTTATGCATCATGGATTGTCCCATCTTGTAAAAATTTAGACGAGAGAGTCCAACATACATAAAATAGGGAGTTACTTTCAATACTCATATATATATATATATATATATATATATATATATATATATATATATATATATATATATATAAAAGAAATATAGTCTTAAGGTGTGCTATATTTATAAAATAAAGTGCTCAATATCAGAGATAGAGCGTGTGTAAATATAAAAGTGAACATAGAAGTCAAGGCCTCCTAAGTGTTGACTTCTATGTTCACTTATATATATATATATATATATATATATATATATATATATATATATATATATATATATATATATATATTAACGTTCTGATTATAATCCATAAGACTCAACGTTGTTGATTTTTTTTAATTCACCGACTTTGATAATAACGGTCGAAGGCGACGATTCAAGCGTGTGGCACCATTGTGATGTGCCTGAAAAACCATATCACGGGTTGATCCTAAGCCTTGTGAATGAGTGAAATTGTGTAGACGAAACTGTTCGGAAACAGTCGATAGTTAGGGTTAGCACGAATGCACTGTGTCTAAAAGTTTGACCGTACTGACCTTTTTCTAATGCTGATCAGAGCAGATTATGAACTCTCTCCTAGTAACTGTAAACTAAACATAGCTTCAGTGTAAAACATTGTTTGGCTATGAGGGTTTTGAAGAAACACAAATGTGCCCGAGTGTGCAACAGTGATTAGTTAATCTCTCCCCCCCACACACACTTTGTGTGTGTATAGTACGTGTGTGTATGTGTCTGCGTGTGCTTTAGTATAAAATTTTCCGATATGTTTCATTAAATGTTTCACATGATTTGTGACTGAATTTCTGGCATGAGGTGTGATCATTATTTACATTATTACACTCAGACTATTGTTTTTATCTTTATTGTTATTATCCCAACGTTTCAGCCATTGTATCCTCCGGACATTTTCAAGTGTCTTTCGATGCGTATAACCTCTAGAGAATTTTTAACTGGACCCTTTATCTAATTTATGGAGGCAGGTTGTTCTAATTCCACTGTCCTTGTCTCATGTTATTTCGCCACAATCTTTTTAGTGTTCAATTATTACTTGCTCTGTTTTCACATAGCGTTCCCAGGGATTGAACTCACAGTTAATATGTCACTAAATTAAAGAAGCAACGCGTAAATCTATTTGGTTATTATCCTGTGAAGAAGGCTGAAGCACACTACAGCTGAAATGTTGTGATAATAACAAAAAAGATGAGGATATTAGTACGGATGATAATAATGTAAATAGTGTCATGATTATTTATTAAACTCAAATAGAGCACATTCTTAACGAGAAAGGGGTTTTTGTGATTTGCTTTTTGGTTGAATTTGTACCCATTTTATTTCTTGATTTACAGTTTACTCCGTTAACCTAATAGGCTGACAAGCAACAGTCATTGATAACTCAAGTGGCCATGTAAAACGAGTTGTTACGAAAGTAATATTTACTTTGATGAAGAACTAAAAAGTAGTAATCACACTTGCTGACAGTTTATGAAAAAGAACCCTTTGAAGTGTATTTTCTTCTAAGTTTAAGAGTTAAAAAGAAAAAAAGAAACAAACAAACATAATTATAGTAAAGATATAACAGAATGACTGCAATCACACAAAGAAAATAAAGAGGCAAAAACGATTATATTCCTCAGAGTAACCCATAATGATGGAACACATTTTAAATGCAAGTACCTTGGATTATAAAATGATATCTTTTTTCTTTTTATATACCATGTCCTTTCAGTACGTAGGCGATCATGGCTCTTCATCTCCCTCTATCACTTGCAGCTCTTAGCAAATTCTTTCCCTCTGCTTCCTCCCCCGGACCACGTTCTGTCATCCACCTGCTCAAGCTCGACAGTTATGTCACGAGCTGCTTTCCTTTGTTTCTCTTCCCCTCTATTCGACCCGTGTGTATCAGATTCTCCAGGCCCTCCTTCCTCATTGTGTCCCATAAACTTCAGCTGCCCCGTATTAAGTATAAATTAAGTATAAATTTCCTCCTTGTTTGCAACCTCTCTAAGACCTCATCGTTGCTCACACGCTCGGTCTATGATATCCTTAGCATCCTTCGGTAGAACCACCTCTGTCGCCTTGAGTCTCTTCTTCATCTTTGAGGAAATCGTCCAACATTCGCTGCAGCAAAGAAGGACAGATGTCACGTAACATTCTTTTCTTTGTTACCAAAGAATTCCTCCTGTCTCGTAATACTCTGCCCGGCTTTTGGAATGCGTCCTTGGCCATCCCAAAACGTCTACGGATCTCAGTGTCGCACTTACCGTCCCCTGTCAAAACACTTCTACGTCTGCTTGATTCTAATGTTCCCGACCTGCAAATCATATTTCGGACTCTTCCTCTTACTGATGACCATGAAATCTGTCTTCTTGTAGTTTATGCTTAGTCCTTTCTTCTCACTCTCCGTCGCTACCTTCTGTAAGAGATTTAGTAATTTCTTTTCCGTGTCTGCTATCAGTACCGCGTCATCTGCGTATGTTGTTAAGGTTGTGGCCGCCAGTGCTAAATCCCGGTAGGGTTTCCAATTCTCTCAGAATCGCCTCGCTGTATAGGTTGAACAGGTCGGGTGAGAAGATCTCTTTACTCCTATTCTGGAGGCCCAATTAGCCCTACACAGGAGCTAGCTTAAAAGTCTGCATGGAGTATGGCTTTTATGCTAGTATTAAATAAATGGGTTGATAGATTTGAAATACCAGATTTTACACGTATACAAATGTATCTAATTCTACGGAATATAAAGATAACGTGAGACTAATCGTCCTGATTACGACTGATAAATCTCAAACCTTAAACATAGATAAATAGAAAATTCAGATATTACAAAAATATTTTTTCAAGAAAGATAGTATAGCATCAATCTTCGAAATGGATAATGCCTATCTGTTTTGAAAATCAACGTTCAAAATGTCGTCTTTTACTTGAGCACACTTGACAAACACACATTTACTTCAGCATTCATACAGGATATAGAGATAGAAATTAAACCTTTAAGGCCTACCGTACAATCTGGTATTAATTATAAAATAAAAATCCGGTATTAATTATAAAAATAAAAATATGGTATAGTTATAAAAATCCAGTATTAATTATAAAAAAATACGGTATTAATTATAAAAAAATACGGTATTAATTATAGGTTTTTATAATTCTTGTATAAATCATCAGTCTTTAACATCTAAACCATTTATGCTGACTATCCTATTTTAATAAGTTAACAAACTCATTTTGGTTTTATATCGTGTTTTCAAATGATCTCTGAGGCATATAAAATACTCTTTTATTACTCAGGTGTATACTAAATGCCTAATGTACACGATTCAAGTTGACGATTAGTGATTTGTAGGAAACATTAGATGCCAAACAAGAAATAATGATGATTTACCCGATATTTACAGGTTTATACAGAGTAAACTATAAGGGGGGGATTTCTTTTTTTAAATAAAAAGAATTAAAGCTCCAACCCTAACTTTAATCGTAACCTTCAAATTTTTGTGAATGTGGTGACGGTCATAATGGAATTTACCTGATTTTTTTTATATAGAAGTATCTTAAGAGTAGGTACCTTGGTAAATCTAAAAATTGATCACTGAATTTATCAGTTCAAACGGGTCATGGATTTAAAATGAGGTTTTAATTTACTACCAACGACTTGTAGAATGATTTCATCAGCCAATTGCAACAAATAGGATTAGACTAATAAATGAGTCCATGAATTAATAGAAAATACAAATGATAAGAAGAAAACGATGAGAAAAAAGAGAAAGATGGAAAAAAGTGTAATGGCTTAAGCAACCCTTAATAAAATTATTTGATATGCTCAGTAGGACACGAATATTGATGGAATGATATTATTATGTTCTATTTAATTAACATGTCATCAAGATTAACCGTTTAAACTAATTGACGCTTTCTTTTTGACCATTTTGTTCGCATTTTCTTGATTTCAGATGAAAACTTCCAACACATTTCTGTGAAATTTCCATTTTCCAAAATGATAGATTATAATTATAGTTTAAATATATGAAAAATAAGAACGTGTCAGTTTGAACTAACGCCAAGAGTATATTGTAATATAATGCTTATTTGTGAAAAATACCGTAGTAAAATAGTTTCAGGACACGTATTTACAACAATTTATCATAAATACGAAGAAAATGTCAACAAATGAGAAGATAAATGAAAGAACAAACATTGTTATCGAGAAGATCATTGAACTTTTTTAGATGGAGCATCGCTTTAATTGGTCGTCAATACATTTAGATTCTTTGCTGTTTCCAAGAGATTTTTTCCCATCTTTCTACTTTAGCATTCTGCTACCATTTGTTTTCGACTGCAAATTTTGTGCAGAAAGAGAATCACAGAGCCTTGATATTTCTCTGACTCCTGGTTGGTCAATTAATGCCAATATCATGTTTTCCACTACGTCGGCACGGTTGACCTCGAGTTGACCTGTTCAAACTTAATTTTCTGTCTATGTGTTTGGAGCCTATCACGTGAAATACAACATTATAAATA